TGGAGAAAAATAATGGTGTTGCCTCAGTTTTGAAGTGCATGTACAGCATGTAATACAGTACCTTACATATAGTACCTAATAAATATTAGCTATTATTGCTAAATATCTCTTAAGAAAACTTTTTATAAGAAAATACATTTATTTCCCCGCACCCAAGCATACAACTTCACGTGCCTTCTTTTGACCATATAAGGCCCTTATTTTGATCTTGACTAGAATCGGGTTGCAAAACCCTGTAGTAAATAAAGAAATCTGTTTATTTTTGAATGTGGTTAAATCAGAGTTTGTTGTCCATGTTGAGGGATGCCTCTCATTTCCACCTGATAGCCTTCAACAATAGTTTTGGGGCTGGGGGTGTTGCTCAGTGATAAAATGCTTGCCTAGCATATATGAGGCTCTGGGTTTGATCCCTAGCACTATATAAACAAACACACACAGATGCAATCTTCCTTTATTAATGAATAAGTGGTGACTGAATAATTTAATGTGCAGTTTCAATGTATCTTTGATTTTAACTGGTGATGCTTACATCAATTTGGGGATTGACTCCCAGAAAAATACATTTAACTAGGGAATCAGCTGGAAGTTCATAGTGATGGTTCATAAGTTACCACCAGTATCACTTTTCTCCAGCTTCCTAGATTTTTACATATGATCCATTACAGTTTTACTGCCACCATCACTCCTTCCAACTTTATCAATAACCCAGTAGCAGTAGCAATCAGAGTTCTAGAGTGCTACAAAATTATAGCAGAAGAAAAGAAACAAAGGTAATCATGGGCTAGAGAACCAGGTTGCCAGAATGTTCAGTTCCAGGGCCACATTTATAGGAACTGTTGAGAAAGCCCATAAGATAGCAAAGATGTCGAAGGATATGGCTGCCACATCATAAGAAGAACCATGCTTAGAGCGAGGGAGAAAAACCTAAGGTAGTGATAGGAGAGCTGCTACTAGCTACTTTCTTTGTACTTCAGAGGGGCTGTATGATACTGTGATTCAGACTTGGACCTGCCTTCTCATCCCAGTTCTGCCAGTTTCTGACCTGTGGAATCTAAGGCAAATAACTTAATCTTATGATCTCAGATATTTTTCTAAATTGTGGAAACAGAGTTGTTAATAGTCCCACCTTATAGAGTTCTTGGAAGTTAATGGTAATGTTTGATTAAACACTGCAAAGTCTAGTATACCTTAAGGACTATAAGTAAATGCATAACATTAAAGAGAGTGATAACTTTCAGCTAAAATTGAAAACAAAACTGAGCTAATGTTATAAAGGGGAAGATTCTGGAAGAAATGCTGTCCTTTAATGTGGTGAAAATTGAACAACTATATATCAGGTATCAAGTGATTCATACATGGTATTTTGCCTTTTAGTAAGAGGTCATAGTGAAAGTTCCTTTTCTGCTCTAAGACTCTTTGATTTTGTAAAAGTTTGTAAAAACACAACTGTTTTATTAACATGTTTTTTTTTTAAGAGAGAGAAGAGAGAATTTTTTGATATTTATCTTTCAGTTTTCGGTGGACACAACATCTTTATTTTATTTTTATGTGGTGCTGAGGATCGGACCCAGCGCCCCGCGCATGCCAGGCGAGTGCGTTACCGCTTGAGCCACATCCCCAACCCAACATGGTTGTTTTTGTTTCAGAATTAAACCCAAAAAGGCTATAAAATATTTTAGTTTAATACGATGGGGGGGGGCTTCTTTAGTTACACCACTTAACAAGAATCACTGGTGTGAACGCTGGGATTGTAGCTCAGTGGTAGAGCATTTGCCTAGCATGTGTGAGGCCCTGGGTTCAATCATCAGCACCACATCAATAATAAATGAATAAAAATAAAGGCACTGTGTTCATCTACAACTAAAAAAAATCACCGGTGTAAGTAATATTATTAGAATTAAATTTGAATCAGAGCTGGAGTTGTAGCTCAGTGGTGGAGCACTTGCCTTGCAAGTGTGAGGCACTGGGTTCGATCCTAGCACCACATAAAAACAAATAAAGGCATCAAGTCTATATACAATAAAAATTTTTTTTTAAATTTTAATCATAAGAGCTCTCACATTGTGTTCTATCTACAGAAGGAAACTAAAACGTTAGATATTAATTAGCACCTTTGGAAAATTAGATTTTAGAAATATAATTAAGAAAGCTAATATAGAAAAAAAATTCATCAAAGGTGTTAATTAAGTTCAACCTAAAGTAATTTGAAAGGCTTTTTGTGTGTGTGGGTGTGTTTGTATGTGGTGCTAGGGATGGAACCCAGGACCTCATGCATGCTAGGCAAGTACGCTACCACTGAACTACATCTCCACCCCCAGGAAGGCATCTTAATATTATTTTTGCAGAGTGCAGTGGTTCACACCTGTAATCCCAGCGGCTTGGGAGGCTGAGGCAGGAGGATCATAAGTTCAAAGCCAGACTCATCAAAAGCAAGGCGCTAAGCAGCTCAGTGAGACCCTGTCTCTAAATAAAATACAAAATAGGGCTGGGAATGTGGCTCAGTGGTCAAGTGCCCTGAGTTCAATCCCCCAAAAAACAAATATATATTCTCTATAATTTATATTGTCTCCTAGAAATTATTTGAAGCAATAACTGAGACTATTATCCAAGGTATGCAAAGAAAGTTTTGGAAAAAAGCTGAAAGGCCTTCCCACATTAGTTCAGAGAGCCAAGTAATTTATCTTGGTATTAATATTATTGCTCCAAGAGAATTTATGCAGAGAAAGAATCTTTGTGGTATAGAGAAAAAGAACACATTTTTCAGAGGCATCAATGTAGGCTTATGTTCTTATGTAGTTGTTGGCCTGCTTTATAACTTTTGGCAATTCTTTTGACCTTAAAAGACCCACCCATCAGCTGGGGTTGTGGCTCAGTGGTAGAGCACTTGCCTAGCATGTGCAAGGCCCTGGGTTCTGTCCTTAGCACCATATAAAAATAAATAAATTAAAGATTAAAAAAAAAAAAAACCACCCAGTTTCCTAACCTGTAAATGTACTCTTGCTTTGTGTTTCTCACAAGGATGTTGTAATAGTTAAATGACTTAGTTTCTATATGAAAAAATTTTGTAAGCTATAAGACCTGCAGTTTTTAATTTGTGACATGAAGATGTCATTCTGAACAAACCAAAATTATTTTGTTTAATAAGAAGATCATAATGTGCTGTTACACATATGGTGACGTTATATAATAATGTACTATATATTTCAAAAAGCTAGGAAAAAGGATTTTAAATGTTTTTACCATAAAGAAGTATGTAAGTGTTCAAAAAAAAAGATATGTTTAACCTGATTTAAACATTACACAGGCATCAACATTTCACATGATACCCCTTAAATATGTATAATGTTTATGTTTTACAGATCAGTTTAAAACTTTTTTTTTTTTAAAAAAAGGAGATCATGAGCTTACTTAAAGACAACCAGAGATTTGAGGGATGTGGAAATTAATGATTTTATTTCCTTCTGGATGTCCTTGTTTACCTTCTACAGGTGTTTTTCTTTCTTTCTTTTTGTGTTTTGGTGGTGGTGAGTACAGCACTTGCATGTGCTTTATCAGTGAGTTATATCTCAGCCCCTGTAGCTATTTTTAACAGTAAGAAAGACAAAATTCCTTTGGGGTCATTTTACCTAGGAAGAATTTAGTATAAGAGAGTCTCTTAAAGGAAGGGTAAATACTTTGTTTTCTATTCCATCATTTTATGTGTCCTTTCCATTCTGCTTTTGGCATCGAAGAGTAGCTGTCTTCAAAAGTATTTTATTTCCAGATAAGTCATTCTATTTTAAATGTGTATATGAACTGTAAGTGTTCAAAAATAATAGAAATAATACTTAGAAATAATACTTTTTAGAATCAATTAAAAATTAACTCACTGCCAGACATAGTGGCACATGACTATACTCACAATGGCTCAAGAGGCTGTGGCAGGAGGATCTCAAGCTCAAGTCCAGCCTCAGCAACTCAGCAAGCCCCTAAGCAACTTAGTGAGACCCTATCTCATAACAAACAAACAAACAAAAAGGGCTGGGAAAGGAGCTTAGTGCTCAAGAAAAAAAAAAAAAAAGAACCCTGGGTTCAATATCTAGTACCAAAAAAAAAGAATTTAGCCCATAGCAAAGTTGAAACAATAATGTTATTATTATTAATTACTTATTAATGAGCTTGAGACTCTAAATACTAATGGAAGTACTTTTGAATAAAAATAATAAAAACACCATTTTATATCATCATCTAGATTCACCATCTATTAATCTTTATTGCTTCTCTCTCTCCCACTGTATCTCCCCCATCCTCCTCTTTGCTCTAGTGCAGCAGAACAACATGATTATTTATTGTATAGTTTGTACCAGATGTTAGGATATTAGTGTCTTTTTTAATTTGAAGTCAAGCAAATTTTATCAGAATCAGGGATATTCAGATTACTAAGGTAATTTTAATAATCCTTGAGTTATGATCCTAGGTTTTGATCCATGTGGTCAGAGATAAAATTTTTGACTTTTTATTAATAAGCTTCAGACTCTAAATACAAATGGAAGTACTTTGAATAAAAATAACATAGTTAAAATACTACATATTTTCTTAAATATCTTTGCTTTGATTGGCAGTTTGGGAAAATAAAAAATTCAACATTTTAAGTTAAATTTGTGATAGAACTTGAATTTGTCACCAGGTATGGTGGTGCACACCTATAATACCAGCGAGAGGCTAAGGCAGAGAATTGCACATTTGAGGCCAGCTTCAGCAAATTAGCAAGGCCTAAGCAACTTAAGGACCCTGTCTTAGAATAAAAAATTTAAAAGGGCTGGAGATGTGACTCAGTAGTAAAGCACCCTTGGGTTCATTCCCCAATACCAAAAAATACTTAAATTTGTCATTTTTTTTAAAGGTTTATTGCTATAAGTTGATTGATGCTGTCTGATATAAAATATATCCATTTTAATTATTTAATCTAGGCATCGATGCAACTAAAAGAACTATTTCTGTTTTGTTTTGTTTTTTTTCAGGAGATTTTGATGAATTCACTCAAGATAATAACGACATTATGTTGAAAAACATAGCAGATGACCTTCGGAATTGCTTACCTTTAGAAACCATGCTTTCTTCAGAACATCTAGCCCTTCAAAAAGTAATTACATTAAATCAAATTAATATACTATTTGTTCTACTTTAGGATTCTTCTATTCTTCCCTAACATCAAAGCCTCTCTTGTCTAATTACTTTTAAATTCAGCTTTAAGCAATTTTCATGCAATGCCTTCAACCATGTTTCCAGTTTTTTTGAATCCTTAAACTTCTGGCTCCCTAGTAATAGTTATTCAACAAATATTTCTTGAGAGCATCATGATTGTAAGGCACTCAAAAATCATAAAACATATCCAGTGAAGGCCAACAGTCTGTCCTTGTATTCATCATTGTCCCGGTTTTCTTTTCCTTGTTGCAGTTCCCTCGATTATCACAAATAGACTTCACCTTCTTGTTTCTTTCTCCTGCTTTTACATCACATATTTTTTCTTTATTCTTCCATTCCTTTTTTCTAGAATTAATTCTTGTTTTTCTTCTCCCAACAACCTTTCTCATTCAGGTTCCTTCAAGTCTGGACATGTAAGGGAGACATGCTACAAATACTGTTTTTTAAAGCAAAACTTATAATAATAGCCTCTTGTACCACTAATCTGAAAATAGCCATCCTCCATGTGCTTCTTTTAGCCTATAATGCCTGAGCAAAGGAACTAAAGCTATATTCTTAATAGTATATGCATATCATGAACATTTTGCAAAACTATAGATATTCAAGCATTCAGATTGGATTCTCAAAGGAGGAAAGCAGGCAGTGTAAAATTTGAGAGAGGGAGGGGCTGGGGATGTGGCTCAAGCGGTAGTGTGCTCGCTTGGCATGCGCAGGGCACTGGGTTCAATCCTCAGCACCACATAAAAATAAAATAAAGATGTTGTGTCCATTGAAAACTACAAAATAAATATTAAAAATTTCTCTCTCTCTAAGAAAAATTGAGAGAAATATTTGTAAAACAGTTTGGATGGTATTTAATAAAACAATCATTATCATGATATACCACAATATATAAAATGACTGATTTTATCTTCCTCAGTTTCCTTCTGATCTTTATATGTGTCCATTGATTTTTAACATACTCAAAGAATTTTTTGTATAAAATAAAATTTTTAAGAATCCATACATGGTTTTTTTATTATAGTTAAGGTATAAGGAATCTGAGTGTTCTTTGTTGCCATCTGCAGTTATACCTCAACCCACCAATAAAAGAGGGCTGCTATCTCTAAGCATGAAGTTTTAATAACAATTATTTGAAAACTTTGCTTTTTGGACAAAGATTACTTGCTAAGTATTTTGATGGTAAGTAACTGACACATAGAACTCAGAAAACCTAGCATTAGTTTCAACTTTCTCCCTCTTCATAGTGTAATTTCTTTACAGAAATCTTGAATATCAATTTCTTTGTAAAATATACTCCTTAGGATGGACAAGATAATCTCTAATATTACTTGGAGCTGAAATTTTAGATATTTCTTACAGTCATGTTTTGTATTTTTCCAGGTCAAATAAAAAGTTAATAGTGTATCAGTAATTAAATGAAGGGGGGAAAAAGTAGTTATTGACTTGAATAAGTGAAACTTATATTTTTGTGCCTTGTTACTCTCAAAATTTTAGCATGTGAAACATTAATGTTTTGCCTTATTTAGCAATAAAGAGAGACTTTTTTTTTAACTTATGTTTCTTTTGATGTTTTTCTCTCCTCTAGATACAGCAGCAGCCAAAACCCACAGTTCATGTTGATGCATTCCTTTATGATGAAGACTTTATTGATTCATTATGTGAGGAAGGAAAAATGAGCAGAAACTACTGTATGGTGTGTGGCTCACACCAAACAGCACCTTTAGGTAGGCACTCAAGTGTACAAATATGATGACTTTATGTGTATTTTTTCTGACATGAGTGTGCACATTTTTGACGAAACCATTGAAGACTTTTTTAAAGCAAAAGGCCAACCTGCAGCATAGCCATTACCAAATATTGCAATAAGGAGACTCAATATAAATATTTCATAGGGAAGCTGGGCACTGAATGTCCTCCAGAACACATTTAAAAACTGCATCATAATCACAGATGATTTTTCAAGTCCAAAAATTAAACATAAATGGCTAGACACAGGAAAACTAACTCATATTCTATATACTCAACAGATTAATTTACAAACCATTTGTTGATATGTTTATAATAAGAAATGTAACTTTTCAAGGGGCCTGAAATGTTTCCCTATAAAAACATCTGTTTGAGAAGTCAGATAGTGATCAAATACTACTAGGTAGACATGGGCTCAAGACAGAGACAGATAATCTTGAGAAATAATTTATTCAGATCATTTTTGATCCAGTGAACATCCCTGACCCATAACAGAACAACTCTAGTGACAGTAAGTCTTGCATATTTGCTCCTCAGCTGCAGCACCTGTGTCCCAAACAGGAAACTAAAATGTTTCCATGATGCTAATATATTAATTTTTCTATTAATATATTCTTTGTTTAAACTGAATGTAATTGACTGAACTGTTGTTTCAGACATGCATTTTCCAGCTCACTTAGATTTAGAGTCGTTGCTTGGAGCAGGTAGCCTTTCCAAGGAATTAATCTTGTGCTTATGTTACTGATCTTAGATAATGTCATTCTCAAAGGTTAACTACTACCAAACTTGAATTTTTTAGGTACTACTAATATTTTGTACCTGCATTATAATTTGGGATTAAGTTTACCTGATTGACTGGTTTAAGATTCTATTTCTAGATAATACTTCTAATTTCCATTTGAAGTAGTTGAAATTCACAGAATGAAAAGGTCTTGGACAAGAATAATAGAGGACAAACTAAAAGGTGAATTATAACTATAAAACCATAACAAATAGATCTGATTTCTAGAAATTTAATAGAAGAGCTGTTTGACAAAAGTCTGAAGACTAGGCTATTATATTTTCATAAAAATAAGGTTATAAATAATGACTAGATATCCAGAACAGCTCAGATAACGGTAATGAATCTGAAACAGCTGTCACCATGGGGGAGTTCTTCATATGACATTGGATTTATCTAGCTCTGAGACATTAATGGTGACTTTAGCCCAGAGAAAAAGTACTAATATTGCAAAGAGTTATGGACCATGTGGATTCTAGGGAGATAATGACTACAGTGGTCAGAACTAATCTCCAAAAGTTACTTCTGAGACCTAGTCACAACATTTATTCTGTTCCAAGGGATTGGCCTACCTGTTTGCATTTCTTTGCCACTTTCCATTGGTTATGGCCAAGGTTGTTCCTCTTCCTGACCATTATATTGTGTCTAGCATATCAGGGGAAAAAATTGACTCAGGCTATCCCAGAAATTTTATCTCAGAAACTGGGGTAATAGGATAGACTTGAGGATAGAAAATAAATGGTGGTAGTTAAAGGAAATAAGGGCAATTTATGGAGATATTTTAATCTCTTTCCATACCACTGCAGAACACACATTCTCCATTATACAACTCCAAAGATGATCATTTGTCTGGTAGTTTATATAGTTTATGCAGCAATACATGGCAGTTTTTAGGTTGACTCTGGGGTAAGGTGAGAAAGCCAGATGTGGAAGTTAAGAAGCCACCAAGTAGCAACAGGTCAGAGAGCAAAAAGGAAGGAAAAAACCCAGGACATTTCAAGCAGTAGCAAGAACAGATAGAGACAATAATCTCGGTAGCTGGTTCCTAGAGCCCTTTTAAATGTCAGAGAGTTATTATTTCCTTTTCTATAATATAACTTAGAGTAGTAGAGTACAAATTTATCATATTATTTTTTTCTAAATAAATTCTGGATGGCTCTCATTGATTAAGAAAAATACATGAAATATACTCTTAAATATAGGTGAAAGAATTATAGAAATACAGAATGCAATTCTTAATAGCAAAGCATAGATTGATGTTCACTCTGTTCTAATTCTCCAGGATTTATTTCTCATTCCTTCTCCCTCATGGAATTGAAGTTCATTTATCATCATGTACTCCCTGATCTGTCAGGAAAGGTCTTGGTTGACGTTGGCTCCAGACTTGGCACAGTCCTTTTTGGGGTAAAGTCCAATTTGCGGACATACTCAACATTTTGGAAAATACTTTCCTGTAGCAACAGCTTTGCCTGCCACCATCCAAGGTGACAGCTTGGCTTTATTTATTACAGTAACATAATAAGGTTAAAATAGTACAACATAGCAGGTTCCTAAATTCTATTTGATGATAAAAAATGAGGTTGGAATGCTAAAACCAGCTGTCTGAGTTCCTTTACTAATCTATCTGTACAACACAAAAAATGTAAATATTACAGAAACATAATACTTTTATAACACTTTACTAATTTATCAGTCACCACTGACTTCTTTTTGTGCTGGTGATTGAACCCAGAGCCTCGAATGCTAGGCAAGCAGTCTACCACTGAGCTACATACATCCTCACTACTTTTTTCTGTATTATAACTAAAATAAAGTGATATGCTGAGCTTTGATAAGAACTCTTATGCCAGGTGCTGTAGGACACACTTGTCGTCCCAGCAACTCGGGAGGCTGAAATAGAAGGATCATGAGTTTGAGACCAGCCTCAGCAACTTAGCAAGACCTGTCTCAAATTGAAAAGTGAATAGGGCTGGGAATGTAACTCAGTGGTAAAGTAGTGCCCCTGGGTGAAATTCCCAGTTATACAAAAAACAAAGAAAGAAAAGAAATCCCTGTATGACTATAAACAAGTCATTTAATGCCTTTTGGCCTCCAGTTCTTCATCTGTAAATGAGCAACTTATATGATGTCCAAGAACACATCTTGCTCCCATTTTCTGTGATCCAAAGTTTGAATGTCTTTTAAAAAGTTTCAAATGGCTTTTAAAAAAGATTTTCAAATCATGAGTATTTTCAGTGTACTTAAATGATTTTATCAAAAAACTGAAATGTAGTTTCTGGTTGTCATTAGTAGGCTTGTTAAAACATGTGACCAATAACAGTAGAGGCTCATGCTAGAAATATCATCATTGTTTACATACAGAAACAGTTAATTCTTTACTGCTTAATTTATTTTTCAGGGTTAAACTTTCATTTTGTAATTAAGAAAGATAGCCATAATAGAAAATATACAGTCTGATATTCTTTGTTTTGTTATTGTTTTTTGCAGGGGGGGGCAGTGTTTTGCTATGTTGCCTAGGCTGTCCTAGAACCTCTACACCCAAGTGATTCTTTCACTTATGCCTCCTGAGTGTTGGGATTACATACATGGTATCATTGTTGAAAATCTTAAATATATTGACATTTTTCTCTGTAGGTCACTGATTCCATAAATAAAAATTTTTTGAATACGTACATATGCATTGTTAAATATATTCTAAAAATCCATGATAGAGCTATAGATACAAATTTGGTTTTTATGTACGTTGGTACAGAGTGATCTTGAGAAAATGATTTGACCTTTCTTTCCAAATTATTTTTTATGATAACAATAAAAAATAACATAACAATACATAGTCAGTTTTTTTTTAATTATCCTTATTAACTTATTGGTGGATGATCTTTGGCAGATTGCCAAACTCTAGGCTGACTTCCTTAAGTCAACCAGTATATACCTCTGGTGACCACCCACTAGTGTCAGACTGTACATGATTTTCCATCATATTCCCACAGATTAATTCCTTTGCTGCTTTCCCTTGGTGTAACTTCCCAAGAAGTTACAGAAGTCGAGTATTGTGCACAGAATTCATACATGGTCACTTTTCTCATTTAAACTTTGTTTTTATCAAGAAAAATAAGAAATCAAGGCATACACTGTAATCACAGTGACTCAGGAGGCTGAAGCAGGAGGATCCCAAGTTCAAAGCCAGCCTCAGCAAGTAATTTAGCAAATAAAAAGGCTTGGGGGATGTGGCTCAGGGGTTAAGGGCCCCTGGGTTCAATCTCCAGTACCTAAAATAAAACAAAATAAATAAGAAACCTATCTTTAAAAATGTAACTACTTAGTCAAGACTGGTAATATTACAAAATATTCTTAAGATTATATAAGTTTTACATAAACTACAAGATGTTACTTGTCTTTAGTTTTATTTTTACTTTATGGATATTTTTTAAAACCTGACTTTAAATTTCAAGTAGAAACAAGCCCAAAATTAAAAATTAATTCAGTAGCATCAAAATGTATCTTCCTTTTTTAGGGTTACCTTTACAGTTCAGCAGAGCAACTCTATGGAGTAGAATTGAATGGAGACTTTTGCCAGCTACAAGAAATGGTCATAAAAAAATACCAGTTCAATGATAGAATAAAGGTACTCTTTAAAATATATTTTCTGTTGTCCATTGTATATCTGAGCCAAACCCCAGCCCTCTACTTCTTATCTAAGTTACATATTTAGAAAGTTTGAAGTAATTAACTGATTTTTTTCTTTGTTTTGAGAATATGTCAAAGCTGTTTTTAAAACTTCAGGACAACTTAATTTAATTTTTTTAGTATTTTTATTATTTAAAGAAAGAAAATATTTTTTAAATAATTAGACCCTGTACCTTTCAAAATATTATATATTTGTAAGACCAAGTGCTTATTTGAAAAGAAATAATATGATACAAAGTAAACTTTTTCTTTTTAAAATGAAAATTGTTTATTTCTTTATTTTATCTTTCTTGTGGTCTGCAATTCTTGATTAAAGTGTAATTTTTTTGTAATTTTTTTTAAATGTTTATTTTTTAGTTGTAATTGGACACAATATCTTTATTCCATTCATTCATTTTTATGTAGTGCTGAAGATAAAAACTAGGGCCCCACAAATGCTAGGCAAGCACTCTACTGCTGAGCCACAACCCCAGCCCTTAAATAAATTGTTTTACTTGCTTTTTTTTTAAATCAATTTATTTATTTTTTTGTTTTGTTTTAATTAGTTACACATGACAGTACAATGATCTTTTTTTTTTTTTTTAAAGAGAGAGTGAGAGAGGAGAGAGAGTGAGAGAGAGAGAATTTTTAATATTTATTTTTTAGTTCTTGGCGGACACAACATCTTTGTTGGAATGTGGTGCTGAGGATCGAACCCGGGCCGCACGCATGCCAGGCGAGCGCACTACCACTTGAGCCACATCCCCAGCCCAAGTACAATGATCTTGACATATCATACATTTGAATCAGGTTGGGTATTTCTCGTTTTTCTGAGTATACAAGTTGCAGAATCACATTGGTCATGCAGTCACGTATATACATACAGCAGTGATAATGTCTATTTTGTTCTGCTGTCCTTCCTTCCTTGCTTTTTTAAATAGATAATAATTCAAGTCAATGTTTGATGAAGAGTCACACAAGTCGGGTTAACAGTGTATTAATAATTTATAGTTTGTAACCCAATTGCGAGTTCAAGGCTAGACTCAGCAATCTAGAGAGGCCCTAAGCAATTTAGCAAGACCCTGTCTCAAAAAGTAAAAAGGGCTGGAGATGTAGCTTAGAGGTAAAGCACCCAGTACCGGAGGAAAAACAAAAACAAAAAGTCTCTAATTTACAACCTACTTTTATAATTTTAGGGTTACGTGTGTGTGTGTATCCTATAATTTTTATATGGTCCCACTTGATTCTGTGAAATAAAAGAGATTCCATTTTATTTATGAAAACACTGACTACCTTAGATTAAAAGCCTGATTGGTAAATGGAGCCATAATTCAAACCTAGGTTCTTTGACTTAGAACTAGTGATATAATTATAGTGGAAAAAACTCTGAACTGGGAATTTAAAAAGCATAATTATGACCTAATAAATAATTTCATCTAAAACAAATAGATCTTCAGAAGTTTGATTTTTACTAGATATTGTTTCTCCTATAGGCATCAGTATACTGATCTCCCATTATCAAAGCTATTAATCTCATAATATTTCACTATATCTGATATTTCACTATATAGATATTTCCTATGGGGTTATGTAATAGCATATACTTGTTCATTACATATACTCATTCTTCTTTAGGTGCTTCATGCAGATATCTGCACCCAGGGTTCACTTCTGCAAAATGCTGATGTTGTTATAATGAATAATGTCTTCGAATATTTTCTTAATGAGGAAGAACAGGCCAGGTATGTTATTTATTCAAAATTTTGTTGTGGGGGGGGGTTTAAGAAAGAGAATTTTTAATATTTATTTTTTAGTTTTCGGTGGACACAACATCTTTATTTTTTATTTTTATGTGGTGCTGAAGATCAAACCCAGCACCCCGCACGTGCCAGGCGACCGTGCGCTTGAGCCACATCCCAGCCCATTTTTTTTTAAATATATTCAACAAGATACAGTAAAAACATCCTAATATTAAACTTTTTTAAAGCAACCTCAACTGTGAGATTGTTTTAATAAGAAATTACATTATATATGACAAAATTAAAACAAACTTCATAAAATGTTTCTTCTATTTTTCCACAGATATCAAATAATTGTATAACCCAAGCATTTGCTTAAACAGGCAAGAATAAAATTAGACAACAGTTCCCAGTGGTTCTTTATACTTATGATTTTCTATCTCACTTTTCTGTGAAATAACATCATTTACTATCCTATCACAAAATAATTGATATTAACTAAGGCTTATAAATGAATATAAAGGAGCATATAAGAATATTAACCTGGAAAATAGTGTTTAATTATTGAATTTTACAGTGTTCTTAAGGTAATAATAGTAGATTCCTGGAGTTTATTCCACTTTTAAGTAGTGGAAAAACTAGCAAATCTATGATCACTTTTTTTTTTTAATATTTTTTCTTTGAGTTGTAGCTGGACACAATATCTTTATTTATTTTTATGTGGTGCTGAGGATTGAACTCAGGGCCCCACACATACTAGGCAAGCACTCTACTGCTAAGCCATAATCCCAGCCCCTATGATCACTTTTCTGATGTCCTTGTCACTGTTAATTTAGAAATTCCTAAAGTCTATACAATCTAAAATGCTGTTTTGGTAACCAGTTAGAGTTGCTAATTTCTTATTTTTCATAATGACATTTGAGTATTCAAGATGCAGAAAAGCTCCTTTCCATATATACAAAAAGGAATTATACTAATGTGTTTCCATTAGTATATCAGTAGAATGTCTCTTTCACAAATTATGCACAGAATTGTAAACCAGTATAGTTAATACTGAATGGAATCCAAACTTCTTTATTCTGCCACCATCTTCTAGTACTACCTCTCTATTCTCCTTTTACCTCCACCCTTTTCTTTCCCCCCTGCTTATCTCTCTCTCTCTCTTTCTCTCTATCTCTCACTCTCTCTCACACACACATACACACACACAACACACACACACACATACACACAAATTACTACTCTTTAAGGTCACTATGAAATGAACAGTTTAATTCATTTTAAAAGAAACTATCATATTGTCATAGCTCAGGGAGAGGGTGGTGGTTTGGGTCATAAACTAAACACATGATCATGAACAAAGTTGTTTTAATCACAGTGCCCTCTTCAAACATAATTTCTAGTGAACAAAGTATGATTTACTTTTTGTCCCTTTTGTGTGTGTGTGTGTATGTGTGGTGCTGGGGATTGAACCTAGGGCCTATGTACATGTAAAGCAAGCACTGTACCAACTGAGCTATATCCACAGCCCAACTTTGCCCTTTTAAAGTTAATGACAAGCCAGATGTGGTGGTGCATGCCTATAATCCTAGCAGCTCAGGAGGCTGAGGCAGAAGGATTGCAGATTCAAGGCCAGCCTTGACTTAGTGAGATCCTGGTCTCAAAATAAAAAAAGACCAAGACCAGGAATGTAGCTCAATGATAAAGCACCCCTGGGCTCCATTCCCAGTACCAAAAACTAACTAAATAAATAACAAGTTAATGACAGGTAGCTAAAATACTGCATAATTGTTGAGAAATGAAATATTAGCAGGTTTATGCTTTATAAGAAGTTTAAAGAAGCCAAGTATGGTAACATATGCCTGTAATCCCAGTGACTTCAGAAACTAAGGCAGGATCATTCCAGGCCAGCCTGGGCAAGATAGCGAACCCTGTCACAAAATAAAAATAAAAAAGGGCTGGAGGTGAGCTCAATGGTGAAGCAACCCTGAGTTAAATCCCCATTACCACACACACACACCAAAAAAAAAAAAAAACTTGAAAGATAAATACTTTACACTTTTTGGAGATTCATTATGGAAAAATTTTTAATGATCAAGAATGAAGAAAACTATTGGGAAATTGATATGGGAAATACTGTATATTTGGATTATTTTTAAAACTTTCTTGGTACATTCATTCATGAACTCTGCATTATTCACTGAATAACTATTGGCTACATGATATAATTTAATCACTTCTAAATTGTCTAGAACAATGAATTCTAAATATAGATAGGTTATAGGCTCTTGTAGTTATCTTCTTGTGAATGACAATATACAAAAGTAAGTTTAGAAGATACAGTAAAACATTCTGATATTGGAATTGTTGTGCCAGAACATTTACCTATAATTAATCCTATTTTATAGAAAATGAAAGAAAAGATGTTGCAGAACGTAACTGCCAAATATATCATTTTTAGAAACCACAATCAAAAGAACAAAAGAGCACTAGCCCAAACACAATGACATTTATTATTGAACACTGCCACATAATTTTACATCCGGCCTGAGAAAAAGAACATTTTATCATTTTGCTAATAAACTCCAGAACTTAATAAACCCACTAATCATTGCTATAACTAAAAGAAGTATAAATGATTCCACTACCTATCTGCCCCTAGATTACTTCATCTTTGTTCCTTAGTAGTATAGTATTCTATCAAGATTCATACACAGTATAGAAATCCAGATCATATCTACAGTTGTCAGTATTCTGGATTTTGTCAATTCTAACAGGTATGTAGTAATATCTTGTTGTTTTTACATATCAATTTTTAATGTGTTGCAGAGCCTGGGAATACATCAGCCATAATGTAAGGAAACAAGGATCATTATTACTAACAGTGCCAAGTCTTGAAGAATCTCTCTCAGTTCTTCAGGTATGTAAACCACTTATCTAGTATTTTTATTGTCAAAACTTTTTCCTGTATTTTTTTTTCCTTGATAGCTGTTATGATATTCTAGGAATGTTCTCTCTGAAATAGTGACAAATGATAGAATATCAGGAGCCTTATTACTTAAGCACTGGTTTGAGATTTATTTCCTGGCCTCAAAAGCTCTGAAATTGTAATCTTTACTTGGATATAGATTCCTTTGCTTCTCTACCCAATTTTTCTAACTTTAGGGTCATAGTTTGGGGTTAACAAACACTACTGAATATTTGTAGGGGGCTCAGAACACCCACATTAAACTTTGTCCCTCAGGCCAAAAGGAACACAAGGCTTCAAATAAGTAGACTGGAGGACTCCATACTCTGTGCAGTTTGGCCTCTAAATCAGTTGGGAGTCCAGCACAACAATTTTCTTGTTTCACAGATTTCTCCATATAAAATGATGCTGATACTTAATAATAAAATTTAGCCCAGCAAATTGATCTTTTCATGAAGGTTAATTAGTATTTGTGAAGTTCTTTGAGATCCCCAGATAAAAGGTACTATTATATTTCTTTTTGGTACCAGGGATTAAAGTCAGGGTTGCTTAACCACTGAGCCACATCCCCAGCCATTTTTATTTTTTCTTTTGAGACAGGGTCTTGCTAAGTTGCTGAAGCTGTCTTGAATTTGGAATCCCCCTGCTTCAGCCTCCTGAGTTGCTGGGATTACAGACATACCCAGCTATGATTATTATTATTTCCTGTAGTGGAGAGTTCCTTATATATAAGCACTGTCAAATTTAAGTTACCTGTTTCTTCCTCTTTTTTTTTAAAAAAAAAAAAAAAGGAGGAGGAGGAGGAGGAGAAATGATCAATAACACCTTCAAAAAAAATTTTTTTAGTAATCATCCAAATTTCAAAAGTAATCCATGCGTGGGAAATAATCTAGAAGAATATATAAAGAAAAGGTGTTAATCTGTCCAGTTACCTCCTTGTAAGATTCCCACCCCATGAGTGGTGTGACTGCACTGTGATTTTCCATACTCATAAAAACAGCTTTAGTGGGCACAGTATCATGTATCAGTAATCCCAGTGATTTAAGAAGACTGAGACGGTGAATGGCAAGTTCAAGGGCAGCCTTAGCAATTTATCAAGGCCCTCAGCAATTTAGCAAGACTATGTCTCAAAATCAAAAATAAAAAAAAAGCTGGAAATGTAGCTCAGTGATAAAGTGCTCCTGGGTTAAATCCCTAATATTGAAGTGCTGGGGGGGGGGTGGAATGTGACAAAACTTTTAAAATATATGGTCCTTAGGGGCTGGTGTTGTGGCTCAGTGGTAGAGCGTTTGCCTGGCATGTGTGAGAAACTGGGTTCAATTCTTAGCACCACAAAGATATTTTTTAAAAAATATGTATATGGTCTTTAATTTATGTTTTATATATATGTATATATATATGTTATAATTATATGTATATAAGTAATTTTTCACTTACCAGAATAATAGTCTTCACCCAGAATGCATAAATTTGTTCAAATAACCATTAGAAGTTGATATTTATGAAAAAGTCCTTATACATAAACTCTTGATAATTTTACTGCATTCCTGTCTAAAAATAAACTTCTTTAAACAAATACATACAGTAGTGATTCCAGAATTTCTCTGGCATGGAAGCTCAAGTTTGCCATAGGAGAGTAAGGGTCTAATGAAGGTTATGAAAGGAGATCTATTACCGTGGATGTATGAACAGTTTTTCTGTGTTCTCAGTATATTCCCGTTGTTATTTTGGTCTTTTGTTGTTTAAACCAAATGATTATTACACTAGTTACATTAAAATAACTATTATGTATTTATGCTTTAATGTTCAAAAATCGGAATAAATTTAACTCTAAACACATAGACCTATTGTTTAGTACAACAAAAATATATTCACATAGTTCCATGTAAACTTGGTCCTGTGTATTATAGTAAAAATCTAATGTATTCAATTACTTAATGATGCTTTCGTGAAATTCCAGAAAGTAGGATTATTCTGTAATTCATGTTTATTCATAGGTTGTTTGTTTTGTTTTGTTTTTCCCCTAGACTAATATACAGTTATCTCCCTGGGTCAAAGAAGTACCACTGAACTATGATGAATGCCTACCAGAAGACACTGATAGAGAAGCTCTTGAACAAATTCATCTATATGAGATTCTCTAGCACCAAAATAGTCCTACCTAGTATAATGTTTTGTTGAGTTTATTACAAAATAAGGAAGAAATGTATCTTCAATGTCCTAAAACATATTTTTCTGTATATTCCCTTTCAAAATTTGTACCTATGCTATATATTTATAGATAGTTGTATATGTACATACGTAATTGTTATATATGTATACATACAACTTCTGCTTTGTGTGATAATTAAAGTATTTATCTGAATTTTTTAAATTTTCCTATTTTTTCAATTCTGAGTGTCACATGCCTATAATCCCAGCAGCTTGGGATAGAGGCAGAAGGATCACAAGTTCAAAGCCAGCCTCAGCAAGTTGTGAGGCCTTGTCTCAAAAAATTACAAGGGGGCCTGGGGCAGGGGCTCAGCAGTAGTGCACTTGGCCTGGCATGAGTGAGGCACTGGTTTGTTTCTCAGTACTGCATGTAAATAAATAAAATAAAGATTTATCAACAA